CTATACGGCAAGTTAATACAAGTACAACGAAAATCGTAAAAATTGAATTTTTGGCACCTTACATTTACGAAGCTGCCAGCTTTTTCGAATTCCATATGTCATGCCATTAAAAATATTATAATTTTTCTCAACTCACTTACTTAAGCATCAAGTACAACCATTATACGAGTACTAACGCTTTTTAAATTTTTTAATGCAATAATTTTATATATTTTGTTATGTCAATGAACGTAACTCAAATAATGTAGTAGATTCTTTTTAATACAAAAGTGCTGCTTAACAAACTAATTTATTTTTTCAACTTTATTTATGTACCCCACAGATTTTTTCTGACAGCTTGTTATGAATTAAAATAATTACGAATAGAAGATATTACTTGTACAAATTTAAGATAGATATAGAAAAATTTTTCTTTTACAAGCTTTGTTTCAAATAGAATTTCAATTTATTTTCTTTTTTTTTCTATTTATTTTTCAATGTAAATAGTTTTAAGTCAAAGCTGTTTGAAATATGAAAACCCCACTTTGTGTTAATGAATTGGCTTAATAATCTAAATAAAATATAGAAGTTCTATTAACCCAAAAAAATTTCCTAATGAATCTTGAAATTTTAAGTGTGGTTATTAAGCATAACAAACCATATTTCAAATATCTCTATGTGTACTTAATTTTTCTGTACTAAATAGAAAATTTAAGAAATTTATTTTCAAAACTAAAAAATTTTCGACTATACCTTAAGTATTTTAATGTTAATTTTAATGCAAACTCAAAAATTGGAGGTAAAATTTTTTTTTTTTTGGAAAAGTTTTAAGTTAAAAATTGTGTTCATGTGTAAAAAATTGCGAAAATTGTTTTGGGTATAGTGAATAGACGCTAGTATTTACTGAAATGATCCTATTGAGGATTTTGTAAATTTTTTTTATGATAATTTGATTAATTTAATTCAAAATTAATTTTTGAAATTTTGAAACTTACAAATTTCGAACTTGAAACAAAACTTTTATTTTACACAGTAAAAAGCTGTAAAACGGGCTCTTTAAAATAGCTATGCACAAAAATATTATGAGTGCTTGTGTAATGAAAAATATAATTTTCTAAAATAAAAGCAAAGGTACTAAAACTTTAAAAAACCATAAAAACATTTATTTTTTTTATAAATTTTATTTTTAACTCCTACATAACAAGTTGAAAGAGAAAGAAAAACTAATTGCTTTTGCTTTTCTGTTTTTCTATTTCTTTTTTTTGTATAAAAATAAAATAAAAGTCTTTTTAAATGTCTTAAATGTAGGAAAATGTAGAAAATTTTAACATTTTTACCAAAACATCATACAGATTTTCAAGCTCAAAAAACAAACGAAGAACTCTGAATGCATGGTTACCTGTGAATGATGAAAATGGTTTCTTGCGTTTTGTTTCTTGTGTACGTTTGCTTTTGTTGTTTTCCTTTAGATTTTATATTTATAAAATTCTTTCCATCTCTTTCTTAAATAAATAAGATAAATTTATATGATATGTGTGTGTGTTTAAATATATACACTTACTCGCACATATTTCTATAAGAAGATTCATTATAATATGGTATTTCATTAAAATTTATTATATTTTTTATTATTATGTTCTCTTTTAAGGTTTTGTTTTTCAAGAGTAGTCAGTTTTTGATTTTTTTTCTTTGGTTTTTTGAAATAAAATGAAAGAAAAATACAAATCATAAGTGGTTAAGGTTACCAATTGGTTATAATATCAAAGAATGAGAACAGCAACTTAACACATTGTTGACCGGGTGTTTTTAATAAGAACTAACGCGTTTGTCCGGCGATTTTTCAACACTTTTTTTACATAATATATTTATTAGAAACTTTTTTATTGCATAATATATTTATAAGGAACTTTGTACACATTGTATTAAATTACATGTTTTAATATTTTTTAAGAGTATGATAGGCTTCGTTATCAAAAGACGTCATATGACGTTCCCGGTCAACAATGTGTTAAGGAACAAGACGTTATGGAATCAACTTGCTAATACTAGTTAAAATAAGTGAATTTGTCAAAAAAAACTCTAAATTATAGTTAATATGAGTTAAAATTATTAAGGAAAGAAGAAAACCAACAAAGAAGTATCGAAAGCAATCAAATTTGCAATTTACACTTCTATGATAGTACGATCACTTATTTATGGCAAAACTATGGCAGCACCGATTTGATTGCTTTTCGCAAATTCAAGTACATGGCCATGCTTACATAAATGTTTCTGGAGGCACAAATCCAATTTTTGGTGTTCCGTTTCCTCTCTTTTCGGTTTGTACGATTTTATAAATGACTAACAGGTCTTGTATGAGAAATTTTGAGCAAAATCAATGAGGCAAAAAAATTTTGATATAGTACCTTCAGATATCGATTTAGGTATATAACTCTTAAATACCACATTTTCGAAACCCAAAAAGTCGACAAAAATTATCGTACAGGCGATATACAATTAAGGAAAAATTTGAGCAACTTTGCTTGGAAGCATTTTTGGAAATTATCAAAATACTATAAACATCTCCAATATCTTCACTGACTTGCACAATATAAAAAAGTCACAACATCTGCCAATAAAGAGCTAACAAATATTTTGCCGGAAACCACTATGATGTAACCACCACTGTTAATGATTGGTTTTATGTTACAGGTAAGCAACTTTCGTCAAAATATAAGCTAAGTCATTTCACAAATTGTAAGTTCTTACAGCAAATTTTTCTTTACAATTATTTTACTTTATACTTGTGGTCATCATTTATAATATGGTAACCTTTTGAAAAACTGGTATCCAGGTACTTTTGCAATAAGATATTGTCGAATAGGTATATAATGTAGTACGCTATAAAAAGGATATGTCTACATTTGCATATACACACTTCGAAATGACAAAAAGAAAACAATAAAAAACATTAAAAATGTTCATTTAAATGAAAAATATTTGGTTAAGATTATGTTGAAATATGAGAAAAATTTACACACACACATGAACATATACGTATACTATAACTGTAATTTATAAAATAAAAAAGAAATTTTGATTTGAAAACCAGTTTCTTTTTTTCTTCTCCCCTCTTATTTTCAGTTTTCTTTTACCGAATGCATACATACATACAAATATATAATTTAAAGTTACATAAGTTATGAGTTAACTGAATTGAAAGTTTTTCTTTTCCATATTATTGTGATGATACAAAAGGAAGTTGAAAAGAAAAAAACTGAATACCCGTTAAAGTAGAAAGGAACACAAAAACTTCCCTGTTAAAAGTTATGAACGGTGTACTGCCCAATAAAACAGCTTAATATGATTTATTAATAGCTTTTGAATCAAAAATGGAAAAATTTATTTTCTATTTTTCTATTAAGTTTTTATGTTAAATTCGTAGATTTTTTGAATAAGTTTGAATGTGTAGAAAGTTGTTGAGCACCACAATAACATAAAAACTTTTGATTCGTATCGTTAAAAAAAATTCGTAAATGGAAAAATTTTCTCATAAATACAAAAACATTTGCCAAAAACCCATACACAAAATTTAAATAAACAGAAAAACTTATCAAAGCTCATGATTTCGCGTCGAAACCATGGAAACAGTTGAAATTCTACAAACATTGTCCTTATAGTTTAAAAAACTTCCTATATTTTTATCATCAACGTTGGTGTCGTCCTTTCAATGTTAAATTACATCACAAAAACTTATACATTTTATGTGAAAATAATTTTTTTCTCCGTTTGCATATCATGCAGAATTTTATTTGAAACCGACATTAGTAAATTTTTTTTTTCATCCTTCATACAATCACAAAATAAAACATTTTATTTTTTTTTTAATGTTTAATTTTATTATTTTTACTTTTTATTGTTATTTTTTATCCTTTTAATCTCAACAATTTTCATACACAAAGTTTTTTATTCTGATGGTTTTTGCTTCCTCTTTTTGCATATAGGTGGTTTATCTGTCAATACATTTAATATTTTTAGGTTATATTTTTGCAGTGATTCCTCTTTTGTTTTGTTCGTGTAATTTATGACATAACAATTATTATTTTGTATTATTTTTGTTGTAAGTATACAAATAATAGCAAATACATATATGTACGTATAACATGTGAAAAAGTTAAAAGTTTGTTGTACACAATCACTTTATTTACTTTAAAGTTAGAACATTGTAATTACAATAAAACTTAGCAATCAAATAGGAATAATATTCTCATGAGATTTGACAGTTTTATTAATATAAAAGTAGTATGTGCATTTGAATAATTCACAAAAATTGATTGTGAATGTGAGAGGAAGAGAAATTAAAAAAAAATTAATAATTTACAGTTTGCATATAAGACACATGTTTCAATTCCATAGTAGAAATTTAACTGTGAAAAAGTGAAAAAGAATAAATTTACTTTTTACTGCGTGAATTGCAACCTTTGACATTTGTACTGAAAAAATGTTTTATCTCTGCCATAGTTTTGCTCCTAGTGATAAAAACTGGTAGAAATCAGGATAGCGGAAAAAACTTACATTTTCTTTCATGTTTTATTGCACTGCATTCCAAACCGTATTTGATATTTTTTTTTGACCTTATGCTGCTAAAAACACAAGTCGTTTTCGTTAACCAAAGCCATATATTATTGACGATGCAGCATAAAATTTTATTATATTCGCAATTATTTTATTTCAGTCAAGACTATGTATATGTAATTTGACTTAAGCATTATCATCCCAGATTTTATATCTTGAAAAGATCGGCAACACGAATGTCAGCATACATTTTACCTATTGGAGTAATGCTTTAGTTTTGCATAAACATAAAACATTACAGTGAGAATTGTAAGTCAATATGTTCTGTTGCAGAAACAGTCTAAATTTTCAATGTTTCAATGGAAATTTTTACTCAATTTTGTAATTTTTTTTAGCAACTTCAGTGACCACTGTTTTCAGTTAATCTTAATTTTAATAAAACATTTTTTTTAGAGATAGAAACTTACCATCATTATTGTCGGAAACAATTTTCTCTTTATTCGATAAATTTCCATTGGAATCATCGTTATCTATATTTAAAAGTGATTCTGCTGTTGGATCTTCGGGTATTTGAGGTAAAACAATTCTTGGCATCTTTCATTTGATCTGTAAAAATAAAAAATTTATAAATTAATTTTTATTTATAATTGATAACAACTAAACTAAACAATATAACTAAATCTTGAATCCCATTTTAAACATGTAAGTGACAAATAGATAATATTATTGTAACAAATTTCATTTGCATACACAAATTAAAACGTTTGAAACTTAATTTTGTCATTGTTGAACTACTGCTTGAAAAAACGGGATTTCATATACACACATGCTTATAATGTGTAAATATGCGGTTGTGTGGTGCGATTTTCAGTAAACCCTTAGAGTAATATTTACAATTTCGAATTAACTTAAAATTTAATTTTTCGAATTATTTTAAAATTTATTCAATAGATTATATGTCAAAAACTGATACAGACCCTTAAGCATCCTTAAATTTATTACCATTTTCGTACTTTACATTCTAAATTTAAATTTAATGTCAGTACAACGAAGAAAAAAATTTTCAAATCGTATCTTAATTTGTGTATATTTCAAATTTATATTATTCAATACTCAAAAAAAAATCTTTTTTTACAATTTAAAATTCAAAGTTAACAACAAATATGAAAACCTTGAACCTCAAATCCTTAAATATAACATCGTATTCAATATTGCATTTATAGAATGCATCTATAGGTACTCACGATATTGATTTTTTCTTTAATAAATTGTCAATTATTTTAACCACACTTCTTCCTCCATATTTAGTCATAAGTAATATAAAAAATTGAATAATAAAAAATCGTTTTAAATCAAATTTACAATTTTACACAAATATGTATGTATGTATAAATAAGTATAATGCACATACATATATGTAATATATACATATACAAATATAATACTTAATGTATGGATTTATGTTACTGTTATACTGTTATGTATGGATTTATGTTACTTTTATTTTTTTTTTATTCAAGCAAACAAGGAGATCAAATAACAAAATGTATAAAATGGTTGAATAAAATCATAAGCGCATCATATTGTTGCTGTTATTACAAGGAAAAAAAACACAAATAATAAAAATTTTAAAAGAATTTTTCCAAGTTCACAAATATATTTTTGTTATTTTATAATTCAGAAGATCTTAGGATATACGAGTACAACTATTCAAATATATGCAATATTTACAATTTCTAACAATTTACATATGTAAGTATGTATGTATGTATGTTTGTCGATATATCAAAGCAAATAATCTGATTGCATTACCATAGCAATATAAGAAGCTTCAGCGGTATATCAACTCATATATATTGAATTCATCGCATAGCAATGCTCAATAACGTGATTTTAATAAACTGATATACAAAATTGTACACAATTTTTTATTTTAAAAAATTTTTTTAACTTCATTTCATTTCTTTGCAAATTGTGAATAATATACATATAAATACATACATACATACGAGTATACATATGAGATAAACTTAACGTGATATGTGCATTTCTTTTTGAAATTAGAATAAAGTACATAAAAATAGAAGGGGTAGAAATTCATTCTTAGATTTAAATTATTTGAATATTTTTTATTTTTTTATTTATAGAATGTAAAAAAATCATTATTGTTAAGCAAGACGCCCCCCAAATCTTTCCCATGTTACTTGATCCTCAATCAACTCTTTATATATTTTTGTTTTTGTTTTGTATGTCTACTATACCATATACACATCATACAAACAAAGAAAAACAATAAAAAGAAAATTTTTAGAAACCAAAGGAATAAACAACCTTGTATTATTTTTTTTGAATAAAAATATGAATTGAAATTCGTGTATATACATTATTGTTATAAGTGTAAGTATGTAAGTATGTTATACATAATATTGATATATGTATATATGTAAAAAGAATAGCATCAAAATAACAAGACAATAACTGTCTTCTCTCCACAAAAAAATTTAAAAATTATAAAAAGAAAGGAAAATTTATAAGAAAATAGAGTAAGTATGTACGAGTATAACACTATGCGTTTTTTACATAATATATCTTAATGGTATGGCAATTGTAAAAAAATATATTTTAAATCAGAAAATTTTAAAATGAAAATATTATAAAAAAGAAACTTGATGAAAACATAGAAGTAAACAAATATTTTTACCGTAACATTTTTCTTTTTTTTTAATTTCACATTTTTATTTACAAACACAATCATACACAGCGAAGAATAAAGGAAGAATAAAGGAGACAAGGACTTAAATATAAAATACAAGTGAGGTAACTTAAATTCGCATTACATGAGTATGTGTGTATATATTCAAATTATACACATACACATGTTATTATGGTATGATGTATTTATTATAAATTACTAAGTGTTCCAGTTATAACTACTTGTAGATTGAGCCCAAAATTATGCAATTTAAAAATATACAGTTTATTACTAAACTGATTATATTGAAACTATTTATACTGTCTATTAACTGACTTGGAACTGACATAATTTTTTGTTGCCGTGTGGATATACTAGAAAAATTTTCTTTTTCACTTATTAGTACTACATACAACATGGATGCATTAGCAACTTTAATCTTACCACTTACAGATTATTTATGATTAAATGTTTCAGATTAAATGTAATCCGAAATACAACCAAAGACAACTAAAAATGAAGATAATCATAATTTCACAGAAATTATACAAATTATATTTTATTCCGGCACAATTTAAGGGATAAGAAATGATTTTTACGCGTACATACATGTATAACAACTTATAAAAATTTTGACATTAATTTGACATTTCTCATTGTATATTACTTGAAATTAGCATACATTTATTAAAAAGTACAATTGGAGTGTACACCTTGTAAATATACAATTTTCATTCATTGTAAGAATGTTCTTACACATTAATATTTTTTATTCTCTTTATAAAATAAAAATAAAACCCAAGACTCAAACCAAAATTTTACGTAAATCAGAACTTATACAATTTAAAAAAAAAAAGGAAAAGGATAATAAAAAATAAATGATAAAAGAAAATATCAATTTCAACTTTAATTCATCAAAATCATAATATCCTGTTTCATCCGTTTCAGCATTTTCAATTTCTTGAAATATGTTATGCATATTACAAGAAAACTTATATAAAATGTCATCACTAATATTATGCACATTTTATATATATATCTAATATATATGTATAGAATTTATCTACAAATACCTACGTCCTCGTATATCACACACATATGTATATGTACAAATAATAAAATATTAAACAAATATAAATAAAGATATTTTTCTATTTTATTCTTTATTTTTATTATTTTCGAATTCATATGCAGACAAGATTATCTTACTTCCTTAAAGGAATAAGAAATAAGGGCAGAGAAAAAAGTTTAAATGAAAAATCAAAAAATAGGTTTTTAAATTAGCATATTTGTCTTCAACAAATTTAATTCGAAGGGCTTCAAAAATAAATCTAAACTCTAAAATCAAATTAATAATGGCGATTGAAAGAATGGTCTTATTATAATATATTTTGCATAAATTTAGGAGTAAAAAGTAAAAGTAAAATTCATATAAGTAAATTCATATGATTTTCATAGAAACTTTTGAAATCGATCGATTCTCTTAGTGTTATAGTTGAACCTCTTTCATCCAGCTTTGTTGGGCCCTCTTCTTAAAAAAAATAAACGGTCCTTTTAAAAAAAATAATCAAATTTTTACAAAATTTCTAAGCATACAAAATATTTCTAAGCATACGTGAGGCTAAACTATTGAATAAGAGCACGATTGCTGTTACAATTTCAGCTTTCGCCTGTATAATTTAGGAAATACCTTCGATTTGGTTACAGTAACATTTCTCCTAAGAAAAGACGGACAGACAAAGTGAAACTGCCACTTATCTTCAAAATTTTGTTGAAATTTATGAAAACCAAAATAAAAACTAAACCATCGCATGTATGTAGTATACGTGTATATATACAAATAGAAATTCCAAGGATAAAAGAGAGTAAAATGAAATTGTTTATATAGGAAAAAAAAAAAGATTTTTTTTATAGCAAAGAACAATTTTTTTTGCTATTTCCTTTCTGTTTTTGTTTATTTTTTAACAAATTGAATTGAAGAGTAAATCACTTTATAAAAATCACTAAGAAATGACGTTTTTCTGTATTTAATGTAAATACAATTTATAAAACATAAAAAAATATATATAAATAAATAAAATTGTATATAAAAAGGATATGACTAAAAATGTCTTTAAGAACAACGATAAATTATTTACAAACTTTACCTTTAAATTTTATTATTTTCAATTTTTTTATTTTTCCAATGTTTTTATAAAAATTTTTTTTAAATTATTTTATGTACATACTACATATATGTATGGATATGTAAATATATTTTATAAGATTATCGTTAATGTTTAAGATGCGATTTTCCAATTAGGATAATTTTTAAATAATTTTACTTGCAACATAATATTAAATTTTAAAAATTGATAAAATTTTAAAATATATTTTAAAATAATTCAATATTAGATTGCCGTCGTGGAATGTGTATAATTAGAATGTGAAAACTTAAAAGAATAGTTAAGTAGAAGTTGGAGTAATTAATAAGTACTAAGAGTAATTAAGTAGAAAGAATTGATAATTATATAAATATTTTAACACACTACAAAAAACATAGTATTTTAACATAGTACAAAAAATTTACAGTTTTCAATTGCATTTTTCTTTGTTAACGGAGCTCTTTCATATTTAAATTAGGGATTTCATTAAAAAATTAGGGCCTTTTGGCACTTTCTTAAAAGCCTTTTTCCCAAAAGAACAAAAGACATGTTTAAGTTTAGATAGCATAGAAAAAATGGCAAATATTCTGGGCGATAAAATAAGGTTTGCTAAAACTCCAGCCCGAACAGAATGATTAATGAACTGAATTTGTTAATTACAAACAATAATTCAGCTTCATTCATAAATGACATTTTTAAAAGATTGTGTACAATAAATTTTATGTTCCTTTTACAAATCATGCTCTTGCACACTCCGTTTAGCAATAATC